ATGCTGGACACTGATGTCAACTTTTTCTTAAGTGTGACAAAACATTATTCTTAATTTTAAATGCTTAACAGGGAAGGCACACAGTTCATCACAAGAAATAGCCCTATGATGTCTTTAAATAAGGTTGGGTAATATTTACCGAACTGTCAAATGACAATATAAAGAGTGGAAGACTTGATTATGATTTTTTTTCAAACAGTCTTTCATGATAGAAGACTGTCATCCATCAACAATGACATCGTCATTTAGCCCTTTTATTATCATGTCATGCATGAAGAAGAATAATCAGCTCACCTGGAGGTCATAAGTGTGGAAGAGCTGATCCAGGACTTCGGATACCTTCCCTGTGCGTGCAGCTTTCCAGAACAAACCCTCAAGACAAGTCTGTCTAACTCAGCATAGAAGTGGTTTTTCAGGTTGATGTTTGTAATGCTGTGAAACTTTGCACAGATCTGTAAAAATAAAAAACAGATATTTTAAGTTACATTGAAGTGCATTTCAAAAGAAAAGGAAAATGAAGGTGTTAACACATTTAAACAAGGAAAAACTTTTAATTTGTTAAATGCTTGTCAGATTTAGTGACTGACGTTGAGATCCCTACACTTGTTAATGTCAGGAAACCAGTCAGGGTCACAGCCTCATCTGCTCACACAAAACACTAAAGTAAAGAAAACAAACTCACCGGTGACTCCATCTTTAGGGCAGGCCAGCACTCCAGGATGTCTCCAACAGGCAAGTCATCATTGATGACCTCTTTACATCTCAGGGAAAAGGTGGTCTGCAGTAAATTTGGAATCAGAAAGAGGTTTTTGAGCAATAAGTGGGGCCCTTCTACAAAGCATACAATGATGATACAGTGAACAGGTTTTAGATACTTTTCCCTTTTGTGCATCGCTCACATCTGTATTCTGTTCACAGTGATTGTGCACAATAAATGTCTATTAAAAGTCTGTGCTTTGAATACCTACCAGATTGCGTACTCCAGATATAACCAAGTTGCTTGTGTTTAAGCCTTAAGACAAAGAAAATAAAAATTAGCTAAGCTGTACATTTTTATAGAAATGTATCTTTACAGTTTATTTACAGAAACGTGACTTACAGAGTGCTGGCAGGAGGGCTCAAAGATTTAGTTTTTTGTTAACTTGTTTTATTAGCCTTTCGGTGCAGAACAGTGTCTTTATTTCTGGATAAACAGTGTTTACTCATTTAACAATTACTAAGCAAAACACAAGGAGAAAGCTCCCGCTTAGCTCTGGGTCCGTGGTAAATATCACTTCAGGACGAGGTCAAGTATCTTCACATACTGGAGGTTATTTTACACAAATGTAGAGACACCAGCTTTAAAGTTAAGTTAGTTATTTTCTATACTACCAGCCTTATTTCTAGAGTTTACCTACGTTTCAGAAAAGCATAACAAATGATAGCACTCAAACAAACTGTGTTAAGACCTCTGGTTGACTGCACAGAGAGCTGCCTGCCTTCCACATGTGGAGGTCCACCAAAACAAAAAAGCGGTCGAGTAACATTGCAATTTTAAACTTATATAAAGACTTAGTTTCTACTTGAAAAGTAAAAGAAATATAAGTAAACTTATTTCTATTTTTAAAATGTTTTCACATTGAATAGTGCAAACTGCATTCATTAATTAACTTCGCCACAAAAGTAAAACAGAAAACACGTATTCACTCTTCATACTAAATGCATGAAATAGCTGCGGACATGAGAACGATTTCATTAAATGAAGAAACGATATCAAAATGTGATAAAATAAGTTATTACTCACCAGATTAGCTCAAAGATAGCAACAATGCTACAGCAGTCAGTGCATTCAGCAGAGTAGAGACAGAAAACTCCTGCATGTCCGAACAAAAGTCCCTTCAAAAGTCTGCGATTTGCTCCATGAACTAAACAATATCTCCTTGTTGTGTCCAAATTGTTGTAAAGTTGTAAAGTTCACTCTGCGTGTCTGGCTCATTCTTACTGACTCGATGCGAGAGCAAACATGGCGGACTCTCCTTCAGGTGAGAGCACGTATGTACGTGACCGTGACGTCATGCAGAGCAGATCAAATAATTTGAGTACAATTATGAAAAATAATTAAATTGGTTGAGCACTGTTTACTTGAAACTAAAAACGCGTTCTAAAAAGTATTTTGAATTTCCGAGTTTAGACAACCATTTTTTTTGACAGGCTTTTACTGTTCGGTCTTACAGTGCAGATGTGTTGCATGACTTTAGTTTTTGTATCCGGAGACAAAGACAGTAGAACCTGTAGCAGCGGCTGCACTGACATGTGACACCTGTTAACTCTCCTGTGTGAAACACCTGAGCAGTAATAAACCAGCTCTGTGACTCACTCAGCTGTATCCTCTCTCCGTTTGAGCGCTGTCTAATGAAGTGTTTTTCTTCAGCCTCTCGGCCCCTCTGAGCGCCCCGCCGCTCTCGCCTCTTTGTTGTGTTCACACAGACGTGTGTGCTCGCTGAGCAGCTGAACGCCGAGCGCACACACAGACACACAACAACAGTCACACAAAACCATGCCAGCTGATGCCAGCTGCCTGCCTGGCAACCAGCCGGGCTTGTGGTGTGTGAAGTGGAGGTGGAGAACTTTCATCTCTGCCCACTGAGGCGTAGCTCTGAACACACACTCACTGCCTCTTTAATAACCTGTGTGTGTTTATGTGACTCTGCTTGAGTTAATAACTGCCTGATAGAGTGATAAAAGCTGAATCATATAAACAGAGTGTTCAAAATAAAACAGTTTGAACAGAAGGCTGTGGTGAAAAAAGATACTCAGGATCTTCTGTGTTTCATTTGGAAGTCTCTTTGTGCCTACAATCAGCAAACTGCGATGTAAAAAACTTAAGTTATTAATGGGCTGCAAAAACCTGCAGTTCCTCCAGTGTCCACTAGAGTCTGTCTCCTGCAGTGAGTCAGTCCCCATAGAGCCCCATGTTAAAATGTCTAACTTTACAGCTGCAGTTCCTCCAGTGTCCACTAGAGTCTGTCTCCTGCAGTGAGTCAGTCTCCATAGAGCCCCATGTTAAAATGTCTAACTTTAGAGCTGCAGTTCCTCCAGTGTCCAGTCTGCAGATTTGCTACAGACAAAATACTCGGGGTCTGGCAGGAGAAACTCCGGGTGAAGTCCGAGTGAAATATATCCGGATGTGTGCGTTCACACATACAGCTCCTCAGGAGTTTTTCAGGGGATTCACGGAAGTGTGAAAGCCCTATAAGTAAACCACCTCAGAATTAATTATAACGATTACGCTTGAATTTATACATTTATTTCAAGGGACCCAAGGACGCGTCCATCAGAACACACAAACAAGGACAACATGATTTAACCACATCCATGAGTTGAACAGGTGGGTGAAACACAGAAAATCAGAATCAGAATCAGAATCAGAATCAGAATCTGGGTTTATTGCCAAGTACATTTCCACATACAAGGAATTTGACTTGGTGTATTGGTGCTACACAGTTAACAAGGAAATAAAGCAGAACTAGCAACAACTTAAATAATACAGAATAAGAAGATATTACAATATATAAAATATAATAAGAAATTGTAAAATATAAAATATGAAAAATAAAAAAAATAAAAAATGAAGCCTATCAGAGATTTATCAACATAATTTTTTTATGATTTGAGTCGACAGTTTGAGTACGATGATTAAATTAATCAATTAATACAGACAGTGGAGGGTCAACGACGTGGGCGGGCTCTGAAGATGCCACTAAACTTTCTTGGACTTCAGGACTTTCTTTGTGTGTTTTGTGTGTGTGTCTATGTGTGTGTGTGTCTGTGTGTTGGAGAGCTTGGGAAAAGAATCCCGAGTCCATCACAATGCTGGAGTCCATGCTTGATAAGACACATTAATTTTATGTGACATTATTCAGCTGACGATGAAGCAGGCCATCCCTCCCGCTGAGGCAGAACAAGCAGCAGCGACCTCTGACGCCAAGCGCTCCTTCTCCCCTCTCTGAGACGGTTCTTCTTCTGATGAAGCCGCCAGAATCATCAAGTTCATCTCCATTGTTGTCTATGTCCACGTTTATCAATCCCTGTCCATCTTGACTGCCTGTTCAGGAACAATAAAACTTAAGGTGAGCTGGTACGATCCTCTTGAAACAGTCAGGGGGATCATACCCTGCAGGTAGAATCCTCCTGTAGCTGCTCCTCACTTTGAATTCTCAGTGCAGAGATAATAGCAGAGGAGAAGATAACCAGCTGACTGACTCTGAGATGTTAAACTGCAACAGAGGGAAAAGTTGGAGAAACTGAGAGAGGAGGCTGCAGACGGCTGACAGCTGATCCGATGTTTCTATTGAATATTGATGTTAATATTATGATAGTTGTGATTGAATAAACATATTCAATAAACATTGAATAAACCGCACAGGTCACCATGTTTATATTCAACATCCTCCACACCAGGTCTCTGGTACGCCCTCTATGACACACACAGCTGGTTGGGTATGCGGGCACTAGGTTTAAAGGCAAGTAAATCAGCGGCCTAATCTTTTGTACCCAGATTATCAGAAGTAGGATGGGAGGTAGAGACTTCAGCTACATGCTCCTCTTCGCTTGAATCCTCTACCAGTCAGGGTCCAGGTAGCAAACCCTCTCTCTGAACCGTAGGACTAACTCAGGTTTACCTTTCTTTCTCTCTTAACACAGCATGCTGAGGCAGACGCCTGTCCGCCACTGATTTTGGTTCTTTTCGAGGTTTCTACCCATTAAAGGACGTTTTTTTTTTTGCTGCTGTTGCCTAGTGCCTGTTCATATTTGTATTCTGTGAATACTTTCAGAACAAGAATTGAACCTGCTCTTTATATAAAGTGTTGGGGGAAAAAGTTTTTGATTTTGCGCCGACTAAGTTAAACATTATTGATCGATTACTGTAGATCTACTTTGTGTTCAGTGTTCCTGCGAGACTTTCTGAGTCTTGCCCTTTTCTTCTTTAAGACAGTGTTGATATTGTTGTAACCTATTTC